TTGGTTCTCAATGAAGTTTCTGATTCATACTTGAAATTGTGATTGAATTGTTACTTTGGCATAAGAGCTCATATGATAATATATATATGTGTGTGTGTGTGTGTGTGTGTGTTGCTGTTTATAATAATGATCATGATGCCCTCATGTCTGTATTTTATTTTTATCGACACCTCTATCTCTAAACATGTGGACATATTTTTCGATTTCGGCTTTCGCTTGAGGACAAGCGAGGTCTAAGCTTGGGGAGTTGATACGTCCATTTTGCATCATGCTTTTATATCGATATTTATTGCATTATGGGCTTTTATTACACATTATGTCACAATACTTATGCCTATTCTCTCTTATTTTACAAGGTTCACATGAAGAGGGAGAATGCCGACAGCTAGAATTCTGGGCTGGAAAAGAGTAAATATTAGAGACCTATTCTGCACAACTCCAAAAGCCCTGAAGCTTCAAGGGAGAAAGTTTCAGAATATATAAAAAATATTGGGCGAAAGAAGTACCAGAGGGGGGCCACCCACCATCCACGAGGATGGGGGAGCCCTACCCCCTAGGCACGCCCCCTGCCTCGTGGGCCCCTGCCAGCCCTCTGATGCCCATCTTCTGCTATATGAGGTCTTTCGTGGAGGAAAAATCATAAGCTAGCTCACGGGACGAAACCCTGCCGCCACGAGGCGGAACCAATCTAGGGCTCCGGCGGAGCTGTTCTGCCGGGGAAACTTTCCTCCGGGAGGGGGAAATCATCACCATCGATCCTCTCATCGGGAGGGGGTCAATCTCCATTATCTTCACCAGCACCATCTCATCCCAAACCCTAGTTCATCTCTTGTATCCAATCTTTGTCCCAAAGCCTCAAATTGGTACTTGTGGGTTGCTAGTAGTGTTGATTACTCCTTGTAGTTGATGCTAGTTGGTTTATTCGGTGGAAGATCATATGTTCAGATCCTTTATGCATATTAATACCCCTCTGATTATGAACATGAATATGATTTGTGGGTAGTTACGTTTGTTCCTGAGGACATGGGAGAAGTCTTGCTATAATTAGTCATGTGAATTTAGTATTCGTTCGATATTTTGATGAGATGTATGTTGTCTCTCCTCTAGTGGTGTCATGTGAACGTCAACTACATGACACTTCACCATTGTTTGGGCCTAGGGGAAGGCATTGGGGAGTAATAAGTAGATCATGGGTTGCTAGAGTGACAGAAGCTTAAACACTAGTTTATGTGTTGCTTCGTAAGGGGCTGATTTGGATTCATATGTTTCATGCTATGGTTAGGTTTACCTTAATACTTATGTTGTAGTTGCGGATGCTTCCAATACGGGTTAATCATAAGTGGGATGCTTGTCCAAGGAAGGGCAGTACCCAAGTACCAGTCCACCCACATATCAAATTATCAAAGTACCGAATGCGAATCATATGAACATGATGAAAACTAGCTTAACGATAATTCCCATGTGTCCTCGGGAGCGTTTTCCTTTATATAAGAGTTTGTCCGGGCTTGTCCTTTGCTACAAAAAGGATTGGGACATCTTGCTGCACCTTATTTACTTGTTACCCGTTACAAATTACCTTATCACAAAACTATTTGTTACTGATAATTTCAGTGCTTGCAGAGAATACCTTGCTGAAAACCGCTTATCATTTCCTTCTACTCCTCGTTGGGTTCGACACTCTTACTTATCGAAAAGGCTACGATAGATCCCCTACACTTGTGGGTCATCATAGCCCCCCACCCCAATTCGGATTGGGCTTGGGGGCGCGCCCTCCACCTGGCCGCCTCCTCCTCTCTTCCACTAAGGCCCAATAAAGCCCATTGACTCCCCGGGGGGTTCTGGTAACCTCCCGGTACTCCGGAAAATGCCCGAACTCATACAGAACCATTCCGGTGTCCAAACATAGCCTTCCAATATATCAATCTTTATGTCTCGACCATTTCGAGACACCTCGTCATGTCTGTGATCACACCCGGGACTCCGAACTACCTTCGGTACATCAAAACACATAAACTCATAATACCGATCGTCATCAAACGTTAAGCGTGCGGACCCTACGGGTTCGAGAACTATGTAGACATGACCGAGACTCACTTCCGGTCAATAACCAATAGCGGAACCCGGATGATCATATTGGTTCCTACATATTCTATGAAGATCTTTATCGGTCAAACCGCATAACAACATACGTTGTTCCCTTTGTCATCGGTATGTTACTTGCCCGATATTCGATCGTCGGTATCTCAATACCTAGTTCAATATCGTTACCGAAGAGTCTCTTTACTCGTTCCGTAATGCAACATCCCGAAACTAACTCATTAGTCACATTGCTTGCAAGGCTTATAGCGATGTGCATTACCGAGAGGGCCCAGAGATACCTCTCCGATACATGGAGTGACAAATCCTAATCTCGATCTATGCCAACTCAACAAACACCATTGGATACACCTGTAGAGCATCTTTATAGTCACCCAGTTACATTGTGACATTTGATAGCACACTAAGTGTTCCTCCGGTATTCGGGAGTTGCATAATCTCATAGTCATAGGAACATGTATAAGTCATGAAGAAAGCAATGGCAATAAACTAAATGATCATAGTGCTAAGCTAACGGATGGGTCAAGTCAATCACATAATTCTCTAATGATGTGATCCCGTTCATCAAATGACAACTCATGTCTATGGTTAGGAAACTTAACCATCTTTTGATTAACGAGCTAGTCAAGTAGAGGCATACTAGTGACACTCTGTTTATCTATGTATTCACACATGTACTAAGTTTCCGGTTAATACAATTCTAGCATGAATAATAAACATTTATCATGATATAAGGAAATATAAATAACAACTTTATTATTGCCTCTAGGGAATATTTCCTTCATCCCGCACTTCCTGCGTACGCCGACTTCACCATGGAGTAGGAGCAAGCACACTTCAACTCCACCATGGCAGAGGTGCAGCCTACGCCGGTGCCTGTGTCGGCGTTTCAGCAGGCGTAGGAGGAACAATGGTACAACTTGTTCCTGCTGGAGCAGCGCCGGCTAGCTGAGGGCCAGATCTACGGTGAGCACGCAAGCGAGGAGGCCGTGGTGGCCATGGCCGCGGCGAAGCCCAACTTCATGGCGGAGCAGCGTGCCATCTACGATGTCGTCCTTGCTCAAGCCGTCGCTCGCCAGGAAGCGGCCGCCACAGAGGCGCAACTGCAGGCGATGGCGGAGGAGAACAACGCCAGTTGCGCCTCCTATGCGCCGCCGACGAACCATCAGCTGGCCTGGTGGGACGAAGACAGCGCTGGCGCCACCATTTACATCGTGGACCTCACGTCCACCGGCGACTGATAGGTCGCGGACTCCTCCGAGGATGAGTAGGTCACGGGAGGCTGTGGTGCCTTCTGTCCCATGTAGGCCGGTCCGTCTCCCGTGTTCTACTCTTCCTCGACGGAGACCGCACCTACACTTCATCGGTCTTATCATCTATGCTCATGGAGACGGCGGATGGAGGACGACACGGGCTTGGACGCCGGGCGCCACCGCCGTAGGATAGGTTTAGGGGCGGGTCCTTTTTCTAAAAAATATTCAAAATGTAATGAAATCTTCCATGTCTGTATGAAATCCGTCGTGTTTGTATGAAATCCGGTCGTGTTTGGATGAATTTCATCCTGTTTGTTGCAAAAAAAAAAGTTTGAAATGTATGCTGCTAGCGTTGGATGTCGTCCTCCCGCATCTGTGTCGCGGACTGGTCCCCCCTCTCCCGTGTCCGCGAATGCGGGAGAAAATTTGGGGGTTGCCGTTGGAGATGCCCTTACCATGTTGCTCGGTAGTGGCGCGATGTTGTTCAGTTAACTGCTCTACTTTGTTAAGTGGGAATCCCGCTTATTCCCACTTAATCTACACCAGTTTTGGTGGGATACCCACCTTTTTAACACCAAACTGTATTGGGACCATGTGGATTATGCTGGGACTTTCACCTACTGTCCCACTCGCAGCCTGAAACGAGAGGCACCATGTATTTTTAGTATGAACTTGATCTTTTTTCTGATATAAAGTTTGAATTTTATTAAGTTAAAATGGAGCATCAAGAAGATACATAACACCAGAAGCACACGTCTGTCTTTTACACAGCTATCTTTGGAGAATCCGTCTAGAAACAAGTGCAATATGGGCTAATATTTAGATGTGGAGGAAGTGTTTTAGACATATTTTGTCGGGGCGCGGGTGTTCGCGGAGGGCCGCGGCAGAGTCGGGCTAGGAGCCGTCTGACCGACCCGAGATGACTAACTGACTGACCGCCGGGTGAGGTCGTTTTCAGCGTGTGCATGATTGGCGTACGGCCCGCACCCGTACGCCGCTCCTTCTTGGAAGCTACGCGCACGCACGAGCGGCCCGGTTTATCTCGCGCACCTCCGTGGATAGACACACGGCCATTTCCACGACCAAAAACACGATTGGAACAAGCAGACGCGGGAAATCTCATCTTTGCCGCCACCCACGAGACTAGGATCAGGATAGATGAACGCACGCGTGCGCCGGTCCAAGTTCCACCGTGTCTCACGTAGCGTACTGCTAACCTTTTGGCTTTTGGCCCTCTCTCTTTACCGTCCCGTCACCGCCGCTCGTGCTCGTAGTAGACAGTAGTTATCCACGCGACGCCCAGGCCCAGCCAAGCGGTGCCCATGCGCGGCCCACGGGGGAAGGAGGGTGGGACCCGCGCACTGAGTGCGCCCGCCCGGCCGCCGCCATCCGTCTCATTCCACGCGCTTCCACCCGCCCCCGTCTCCCCCGCCTCTATCCTCTCTCTCTCTCTCCCCCCCTTATAAACCGGCCGTGAATTCCAGAGCAAAAAAGCACCAACGGCAGGGAGAGACCCGACCAGCGTCCCACCCAACGACCCAGCGTCGACCTACCTCCTACCCTCATCCATCCACCCATTGATCCATCGATTGATTTGGTTGGATTAATTGATCCGCCACCGCCACCACCACCGCCGTGGAGAAAGGAGGGATGGCGGCGGCGGCGGGCAGGGGCGGGGGGCCGAGGCGCACGACGCGGGTGGGCCCCTACGAGCTCGGCAAGACCGTCGGCGAGGGCAGCTTCGCCAAGGTCAAGATCGCCAAGGACACCCGCAACGCCGCCACCTGCGCCATCAAGGTGCTCGACCGCAACCACGTCCTCCGCCACAAGATGGTCGAGCAGGTCCGTCCGTCCCTCCCAAATCAATCCCACGCTTCCTTGCTACCTCCATCCGGCGTTGCCCGGGGGAGCACCTTAATTAATGATTAACGATGAATCTAGGCGGGCTGATTCGTCGAATTGAGAAACAAACAGACAAACCCCTAGATTACGACCGGGAGATCATAATTTATTCATCGGAGGACCGACCACCTAATTCGAAAAGAACGTCCCAAATAACTTTGCGACGTTCAGGTCTCTCTCATGGTCGAGATTCTCTGTCCGTCCGTCCGTGGGGATTGTTTTTCCGGTGTCATCCTTGCTCATGATTTTTGGTTGTTATTAAGGTAAAAAAAAAGAGAACATCTTTTTTAATCCAAAAAAAGAGAACAGGTTGATGCCAAAGAATATGAATTGAAAATTGTGACCATCGAATTAGGTTTGCAAAACGGGTCTCTTATACGGGGGCCACTCTGCACCTGCATCACCCACGTCAGGCTCATTTTACAAGAGGATTTTATAGATATCGTATTTCTTCTGCTATATGCAAATTAAGGATGATGTGATCTAATCATACACGACTGCTAGGGTGCTATAGATGCCATGTTTAGTTCAACTCCTGCGTCCTCCGTACAGATCTGATCAGATTATGGACGCTGACCGCCTATTCCCGCCTTTTCAGATTAAACGGGAGATCGCCACAATGAAGCTAATACGACATCCAAATGTGGTCCAGCTGCATGAGGTATACTCTAGTTTTTTTTTACAGAGACAGCATTTTTTATATCTTTCATCTCAGGTAACATGTGTGCATTTCATAGGTGATGGCTAGCAAATCAAAGATATACATGGTTCTTGAGTTTGTTGAGGGAGGCGAGCTTTTTGATAAGATCGTAAGACTCTCAAACTTCATGCGCTGGATGTTATGGCTTTTACTTTGTGTGCAATTATTTTTACATGTCATGAGTTTATCTCGTAGGTCAGTTATATAAGGCTACATATATGTTTTAGTTGTTACTCATTTACTAATTACCATTATTTTGTGGATAATTAGGTCAATTCTGGGAAGCTAGGAGAAGATGAAGCAAGACGATACTTCCACCAACTTATAAATGCGGTTGATTATTGTCATAGTCGTGGAGTGTACCATAGAGATCTCAAGGTTTGTCCAGTTATCCTACCTGGTTCCTGATATATGTAACTTAAACGTTGATGCTCTGTGATACACTTCCTAATTTATGGATGTTTTATGTGCCATTTGCAGCCAGAAAATCTGCTCCTTGATTCATATGGAGCTCTCAAAGTTTCAGATTTCGGTCTCAGCGCATTTTCTCCGCAAACAAAAGTATGATCTCTACCTAGTTGGCTAGTAGCTAGAAGTATGCATTTCTTTTCATTTTCAGAAACATAAGGCACTGTGCTTGAACACGAGAAACAGTTAACGGAAAGAATATTGATCACCTCCTTTTGTTTTTTATTTTAGGAGGATGGACTTCTGCATACTGCTTGTGGAACTCCCAATTATGTTGCACCTGAGGTGAATTTTTTGCCTTTGTGTTTCTACCTTGTCTAATAAATGTGTTTCAGCCTTTCAGGAGTGTAATCATTAGATTGTTTCTTTAGGTGCTTGCTGATAAAGGTTATGATGGTATGGCTGCTGATGTGTGGTCCTGTGGCATAATCTTATTTGTCCTTATGGCTGGATATTTGCCCTTTGATGACCCCAACTTAATGACTCTGTATAAATTGGTAAGTTGCTGCCGTAGACATACCTTTCTTGTCATGTGAAATTGGTAGTGACAAGACTATTGCCGTTTTGTCTACAGATCTCCAGAGCTAATGTTTCTTGTCCACCATGGTTTTCTACCGGTGCGAGGAATCTTATTAAGCGCATTCTCGATCCCAATCCTCACACTGTAAGTGCCTGTCATGCTGACCCGTGAATTCTTATATCTGAAGCTTCCTTCTTTAGTAGCTTTATTTGCGTTAGAATATGAGAAAATAATTAGTTTACGCTTGTTTTTTCTCCTTTTTGCAGAGGATAACAATCGCCCAAATTTTGGAAGATGAATGGTTCAAAAAGGACTATAAACCACCACATTCTGAGCACAATGAAGATGTGAGCCTTGAAGATGTCGATGCTGCATTCGATAGTTCAGAGGTAATACAATCTGAATGTCCTTTCCTGGTCTGCAGTTGACATATCTGTCTCCCCAGAAATATTATGTTTTAAAGATTCATCTTTATTTATTACCTTTGCCTTCCTATTTCGTAGGAACACCTTGTGGCGGAGAGGAGAGAGAAACCAGAATCCATGAATGCATTTGCTCTTATTTCAAGGTCTGAGGGATTCAACCTCGGAAATTTGTTTGAGAAAGAGATGATGGTAGGTTCATAGAAATGTTGATTTATAGTCGAATAGTTTGATATCCCTGACTGTCTGAATGTCATTACTGAAGTAGTGACATGCAGTTCACTTGTTGGTCAGTGCTTTTCTATAAAGCGGGGCGAATAGCCTTTATTTGTAAGTAGTGACATGCAGGGTGCATCATTCTGCCAGTCACTTAATTGCCCATTTTTAGAAATCTTGGCATCTTCTTTTGGCACAAGTTTGCATTATTAGTAAACCTTGTTGGTTCGCAAATAATTTGATCCTTCCTAATATAGGGGATGGTAAAGCGGGAAACATCCTTTGCGTCGCAACGTACACCACAAGAGATCATGTCTAAAATAGAGGAAGCCTGTGGCCCTCTTGGTTTCAATGTGCGGAAACAAAATTATAAGGTAACCATTATGTTCTTCAAGAGTTTGTTAGAATTTGAGCAGTTCAGGACTGATATGGATTTCTGTTTTTGAACTTCCAGATGAAACTGAAAGGTGACAAGACAGGAAGAAAAGGCCATTTATCTGTAGCAACGGAGGTACCACTCTATCGCCAATACTGAGACGTTAAAATATTGTTTACAAATTCCACTAAAAGAATTGCTGTTACCTCTGATTAAAATATTCTTCAAGCAGCCAATGTTTCTGAAAATAGAAATTATTAAGTGATTTTGAAATGCCAGTGCGATGGCTTTATAAGGCTGTGGCAACTTTTGCTTTGACTTCACATTTGAAGTGCTAATCCTTCATAAAACTGATGACATAATCGGTTGCAGGTTTTTGAGGTTGCTCCAACACTCCATATGGTTGAACTTCGTAAAACTGGAGGGGACACCTTGGAGTTTCACAGTGTATGATATCAAACAGTTTACATTTCGATCCTAATTGGCAAATATTCTGAACCACTCTGACTCTTAGCACTCTGAAACAACTAACACCGTTTCCTCAAAACTGCATGCAGTTCTACAAGAATTTCTCGTCAGAACTAAAAGACATTGTGTGGAAAACTGAATCCAACACAATTGCGAAATAGTAGCGGTGAGCTTCGAGCCTTCAACTCCTAACTGTTGTTCTCCACCCTCTTGTCCTCCTGTCCTAACACGTTTGCTCTATCCTCCAGATGATTGATACTTCACGGAATGGAACTATCTTGCGGTGCTGTATCGATGGACCACCCCTTCAGGTGATGCCGCTGGGCGCTGGGTACTGTATATTTCTCCGGCACCGCATCGATGGTCCAGTCCGCCGTCTCTTGTCGAAGACAGCGCCTTCTTTTTACCGAGCGCGATTGTACACTTACATGTACAACGAGGCCCTCCCGGACAAGCTCCTTGTAATATTGCAACGGGGTGCCTAACAGGCATCCTGAATGTGCTCTAGTTTGCAGCAGGGTTGTGTGCCTTTCTTTATTTTTTGTATTGGAAGTATTTGAGAATCGTAAGATGAATAATGGTAGTTCAGACTTGAGATTGTAAGGCAAGCCTTGCTTTATTTCGCGCCAGGGTTGTGTGCCTTTCTTTGTTTTTGTATTGGGCACGCATTCTGATCAGAAAAATGCAAAGCATTCGCGAGGGTTTTGATGCATCTTCATGACCCATCCTCACCGAAGCTGGTCTAGTTGACATTCAAAAAATCGTCCGGCTAACACATCAAAACACCATCCACTGCTATGAAGAATAACATAGATCAGGAGGACCTACAAACAAATCTATGAAGAACAACATAGATCAGGAGGACCTACAAACAAATCAATGACCGCTAGCGTTGGGAGATCAACGCCAACAGGACCCAAGCAGATCTGGTGGAAGCACACCTCCACGCATCCTAAGCCGTGCTAGGCGCACCTCCGGAGCGGTGATGTGGCGGAGAGGACATTATTTTACCTCTAGACTGTTGTTGCCGCCTCACCACCTCGCCCCATAGATGCCACTGGCCACAGTAAGAAGATCATCCACATCGAAGATAGACCTCAATGAGGTTTAACCCAAGTACCGCCGCCATGACAATCATGGCCGAAGTACC